GCCAGTTGTGCCTGGATATGAAGGCCAAAAGGGGGGATTGCAGACCATCTGTTCTGAAAGAGCATGGTCCACTGAGGAAGAAAGACACAATCCCAAGAGGGATGCCTTGATAAGGATCAAAGCTTGGTAGCATATTGTAAAGAATGTTGCAAATAATGGAGGTGAAAAGGAGGTTCGTGGGACTCAGTGTTCAAACTCTGGATCGGAAAAGTGCAAAAAGCCCTGGTGCAGAGCTGAAGCCCCAGATGGCGAATATGGGATCAAGCATCTTCAAGGCCATGGTCCTGGCAGAACCATAGACCCATAGTCCAGTTTGGATCAAATCAGGGCACGATAGATCCTGAGCATCAAACATCGATCAACTCCCCAAGAGGTGGAAGAGAGGACACAGAAGATGTTCAAAGCCCTTGCACACTTGACAGGCTTGATATGCAAAATGAAGCTAAGCTTACGGTCAAAGATAAGCCCCATGAACTTTGCCTCAGGGACCACACAAATAACAGCATCACCGAGATGGAGCTTAGGATCGGGATGGAGACTCATTGGCAGCAAAAATGTATGGAAACAGTTTTGGAAAAAGAAAACGCAAAACCATTTGCCGTGGTCCATGTCAATAAGCAATTGAGGGCAGTCTGAAGCTGCCACTCAATAAATCATATGTTGGACAACTGACATGAGATGTGGAAGTTGTTGACATAGAGCCCATTTGCAACAGTTGGAGGAAGGTGAGTTGTGATAGCATTAATTTTAACACTAAAATGTGTGACACTAAGATGCAGCCCTGAGGGACTCCAAGTTCCTGCGGAAAGGAATGTGAAAGAGTGGAACCCATACAAACTTGGAATCGCCTCTTCAGTAAAAAAGTTCTGAATAAAAATGGGTAAATAGCAACACAAACGATAGGAGTGGAGGTCCTGCAAAATGCCATGCCTCCACGTAGTATCATAAGCCTTTTCAAGATCAAAGAACACAGAAACAAGATGTTCTCTCTTGAGGAAGACTTCCCTGATCAAAGTTTAAAGTCGATTCAGATGGTTCACAGCAGAGTGCTGTTGACGGAACCCACATTTGGTGGGCGAGAGGAGTGTGTTCGATTCAAGGAATAAAAAAAGACGAGCATTAACCATCCTCTCTAAAACCTTACAAAGACAACTAGTCAAAGCGATGGGAAGATAATTAGAAGGAATCTTGGGATCCTTCCAAGGTTTAGAGAAAGGGAGGACAATAGCTTGGTGTCAAGCACAAGGAAAAATGTGCTCCTGTTAGATCCGGTTAAAAATAACCAGAAGAATAGCAAGGAAAGCAGGAGAGAGATGGCACAGGTCTGACCAATGTACTACCAGACCGATGAAGAGCAAGTTTGAGTTCCACTAGTGTAAATGGGCAATTAGTCATAAAGACAATTAGTCCGAAAGGAAAGAGGTGATCACTCTGCCCAAGACTTGATGGCCAAGAAGATAGGAGAAGAAACAGAAGTGCTAGATGCACAAGAAAAGCTGTGACTGAGAGCATCAGCAATGCTCTGGACATCAGCAACTTCTTGATCGTTGGAGAGCAGGATGGAAAGGGAGTGGAAACAAACCTCCCAGTGACTTTCCGAATCTTGTCCCATACAGTTTTGGAACCAGTAGTAGAAGAAATGCTAGTAGTGAACTTAATCCAAGACTCCTTTTGGCTTTGACGTTGAACCTGCCAAGCATGGCCATGGGCCTTTTGATAAACAATGCAGCAAGAAAGAAGGAAGGTATCCCAGGCCCAGTTTTGAGCCTTCCTATAAGGAGAGACACATGGGATGATAGGAGTTGATCAAGGCCTTAATGCCATCAAGATTAGAATGAAAACATCAACACCACTGTATTACAGTGGCAATTTTTATGTAGGTGGAGGAGAAACCTTCAGTTTATGACCATTTTTCTTTATTAGATGAAGGTCGATCAACCTCCTTGATTGAGTGGGCAGATCTCTGTCATCAGACTGGGAATCCAATGACTGAGGATGTGATCAAATGATCTTCCTGCATCTAGGGGTAAAAAATAAAAACCGAGTGGACATCAGGGACGAGGAGGTGGACTCAGGCAGTCACTGGAAGGAATAGTGGGGACAGAGATTGGAGTAGATGTAGATTGGTCAACTCTATTTCCATGGAGGCCAGGAAACCCCTCACATGGTGTGAAAAAGACTCAAATGGAAGCACGGAAAGGTCTGTCTGCACCCCCACCATAGCAGTGGAGCATAGTGCAGTGGCATGTGTCCAAGAGGGAGTAGGAAACAATAGCTACCGAGCCTCAGGGTAAGAAATGTTGCTAACTGTCTGCAAATGGTGTACCTACTTCTCCTCCACCCACTTAAGACAAGACCTAAAGTAAGAGGGGTGGGAACCACTACAATTAACACAGTAAGGGCCCAGTTTGCACTAGTAGGCATCATGGTCCTTGCCACCACAACTAGCACATGTCACAGAACCAGGACAAAATGTCTTTGAATGACTGAAATGCTGGCACTGGAAACATCAGAGAGGGTTAGGAATATATGACCGTACCTTACAATTCAAATAACCCACCTCAACAGTGGCAGATGGACATGGTGATGAAAACATCAAAATCAGAACAGAGTATGGCACCATAATACCATCTTGACGAGTGGTGATTCAACAAACTTATGAAACTCCTTGGCTGGAGAAACCAACAAGGATCTCTGACTCGGGGATGGTCTTCAAGATCCTCTCAAAGATAACTCCTCTTGATGAATTCAAAGAAGCATGGGGAGTAACCTCAATGAGTATATCCCCAATGGCCTTTGAATTCAAGAGGAGTTCACTGTGCTTTGCTGTGGAGGTTTCAACCAAGATGTCTCCAGAACGGAGCTTTTTAACTGACTTTGGAGACCCAGCAAGCCCCTCTAATCCAATCTGTATAAAAAAGGGAGACATTTACCTGAAAGATTTGTCAGACAGGGAATGCAGGATCGGGAAGCGAGGTACAGGTGTACTTTGTGATGTAGACTGCTGTTCAGAGTCTTCAGGGCATGGACGTTTACCAATAAGCAGCGTTTTTACAATTTTTTTTATTTAGATTTGGGGGATCTATAATACAAGAGAAAGATTCAGTGCCCACTGACCCCACCCACCATGGAGTCCTATGAGGGGATACACTAAAATGTCAAACAAGGACACTGCAGCAATGCCAGGGTTTCGTGAGCACTATACCCAAACACCAGCATTAGTCACGATGCCAGCAATACCCACTAAGAATGCCCAATACTGGTACTCAGTTGACCCTAGCCCAATGGGACTGGCTGATTTATCTTGAGGGGGGGGGCACCCATTTACAGGAATTCAAGGCCAAAGTGGTGTGTTGCAGTGCCCCAGACACCACTCAACCACCAGGATCATCTCCTCCTCTTCACAGGTCGCAATGCACGGCAAACACGTGAGTGGATGTTTAGATCCTAGAGGAAGTAACTGAAAATACAGAATCTTCCCTGGGAGGTCCCCTCATATCATACAGGAATTCACATCAAGGGGTTATAATTAAGAAACTATTGTTTCTCCCAAAAATCTCAAATATTATTTGTGTAATCTCTAAAACCTTCTAAACACTTTTCAAATGTTTGTTTTAAGTAAAACTTTATATTTTTTCCATTATTTTCTCTACCCTAACTCTATGGGGTTTGTAAGTTTGACCAACCTTGTATCCACCATAAAAATTTAGGAAATAATTATAAATTATGTTTTTTTTTCATTCTAGAATGACTACAGATTATAACATGAAAACACAACTGTTTAGTCTAAAGAGCTTAAATCTCATAAAATTACATTTATATATATTTTTATTATTTTTCATTATATTGACCTTCCAGTCATGCCTGGCTAACAATACAGAAGTTACAACGATGCAGCCAACATGGACTCATAATGACCATATATAATAATACAAAATGACCTGTCTTGGCTGTGTTTCAGTGGACCAGTATTTTGTAAAATACAGTCACATTTCAATTATCATACATAATATATGTATATACATGAATACTACTTACAAATCCATTTTTAAACTTTATTTTCATCAAAACATAGAACAATAAATAAAGAAGTAGAGCAAATAATTATCTCTTCTAGTTACACCTTTGTACTAGCTTGCTGCTTATTGTAGGTTGCTAAGCCTTATGTTTTTTTAGGTTTTATATAAATATTTTAAATAACCAAAAAATGTGTAGTAACTAAGTAGTATTTGGGTCCAAAAATATGAAATTTCGAGCTCATTGAAGACTTATCGTGTGTGAAATATTGTGTGAAAAGAAGGATGTTACCACAAAAACACATCAAATGGCTGACAAAACCACTAGGGTACATTCTGAGCTTGTGATACATTATTCATGTCATGTTTTGAAGTAAGTGTACATAAAGGAGCATTTCCAAAAATGGAAAGAGGTGAGCGGGGCCACTGTGTTTGATTCAATACGAATGATATCTTAGCATGTAGAAAAGAAAAGAGGTTCTTATATTATATTCTAACTTCTCCATATTGGTAATTTGAATTTATAATTCGTTCAAAACTATAGACTTTCTATCAAAGGATTGTGTATAGAGATAATGTAAATAAGATAACACACAAAATATCATTTTACTGAAAAAATCATTTGATATTTATTTACCATATTTTAGAGATTACTCCAATGAAATTTGATAACTTTAAGATGAAGAAAGTATTTAAAATCTTAAGAAGAAAATCACTTTGCAATTGGAGTAGTTAACACACTAATTCTCTATATTCATGAACAAATTTTCAGTACAGATACATAATTAAACACCTGAGTTTTTGCATACAAAATACTACTTATGTTTAAAGAATTTCATGAAGATATGGTATAAAAACCCTTATGTTTTGTATTTTTTATTATGTTTACTGTAGGGTTACAAGATCAGTTATACCAATCAAGTCTGTTGGTAAGTGTTGAGCCAGTGTCAAGAAACTTAAGTTTTAGGTGATGTCTATACTTACCACATGTTCTTTCTAACCCTGATTCAATCTCTCTTTGAAATTCAGTTACTGTTGCCAGGTTCATAACATTATAGAACGAACTATCCTGATTCTCATCATCACTGTAACTGAACTTTGAAACAACTTGTAGTAGATCATCAGGCTGTTCCATTTTCACTTGAACAGACATGTTCTAAAATCAAACAAAACTTGAAAGGGTTAACAGAAATAACAACTAATGTTAATATTACATACAGTCTCCACAGTTCACTAACTTAAAACATGATATGATTAATAAACCTAACATTTCAAATTTAGTTATGTAGGTAAGCAGTCCTAAGCTATATAAATACTACATATTTTATGTCTGATTCTATAGTCAAACAAAAAATTGACATACAACACCTTGAAACAAGAAAGACTCAACAATGACTTTCTTATTTATGCAAACTGAAAATAAAAATATTAAACTTCATGTTGATACTCTACTGCAGCAAAGCATCAGAGATATCTGCAGAAAACATTGGGTAATACACAGTGAGAAAAACAAAATATGTAAAAAAGTGGATAATCAAATACATAACAAATATTGTCTACATTTTGTTTTTATCAAACCGGGTTAAAACTAAAAACTATGACCAGTAAAAAGCCAAAAATCATATTTAATTTGGACAGTGTCACCATCATTAATGTCTTAGGCAAACTTTGAGATAAAATATGTCTAAAATGGTGCTTTCACTGGCATTCTTGTACTTGAAGTAATGGCAGAATTAGAGTGTGCATTGACCACTGTCATCAGGCACAATCACTGGACTTCAGTCGTCATAAAGAGACAGTGTAATGGGTTAACATGGCCAAAGACAGTGGGCATGAGTCAGATTGAGTGCAGAATTATATTTAGTTCTTTCTATACAATGTGTGGAAAGACCAAGTCAGTTAGATATCTTGATAAAAGAGTTAGCACAAAGGATCACATATAGAGTGTAATAAACTTAAAATAAGAACCAAAACTTGAGCACTTTCAAATAGGTCAACTCACATAACAATCAATTCACAAAGGAATTAAGGCTGACAATTCCTCAGTGTAGTACCACCACATGAAACCTATGTAATTATACAGGAAGTAAATGATATCACTTTTCAAGTGGAAACAAACTTTGATGAAAACAAAGAAAAAAGTTAATATAATAAAAGTAAATTTTCACTGAAAACTGTCAAAGTGAAGTAAAAAGGAAAATAGAAAAATATTAACATTTTGTATGAAATTCCAAACAAAAAAAAAAAAAAGGAAGAGAGCACAAATAAAAAGTGTAACTGTCATAATTTAAAGAAAATATTGTATATGTATATGGGTTCTGGTTTTTTACCAACTGTCGAAATAAATGGCTTTTACTTATATTTCTTAATAGTATAAATATATACTATGTAGTTGTTGGGCTTAGGATTCTTCTTCAGGTGTCTGTGACTTGTTAGTGATAGATTCAATGATAAATAAACAGCACACACATTCATTTTACTTGTTATCAAATGATATATATATTATGAACATATTGTTACGTCTCCGTTTGTTAATTAATTTTCTGTAACTTCGTTCTGACGAAACTTTAGTGACACAAGTCCTTACTTAATAAAACTGGTATATTCTTTCTGAATATAACTTTACGATGCACTTAATTTCAACATTCATGCTAAAACAAATGCTATAACGAACGTTAACTTCAACAATACTCTCTGACTGCAGATCAACTCAATAACTACACATTGTCCCGTCACGTTGTCACCATCTTATATATACCAGACTACTCCCAAGAAAGAAGTGGCGTGATACTAGTCATGTGACCACGCTGACGCAACAATATGAAACATATGTACAATAAAGTATTCACACTATAGAGAATATAAGCATATCGTAAATGTTATATCAGTATATGTATAGTTCTCCTCTTCTTGTCAAAAGTCCACTAAGGCCTGTTCAATTACTTTAGAATCTCAGTTGACAAGCAAAACTATTTTCTCTAATACTATCGCAATATTAGTTTCACTCTCATATACATATTAAACATTAGGCCTATCACATTTACATTACTTAACACAACTATATTCTCTTTGCTTTTTTCTGCTTATACTGTCTGTCTGCTACTTCCCACTCATCTCACACTATTCATATCTTTATTACATAGTTGCCTGGCCACTTTCTATATTCTCGACACTAATTAGTTTTTAACAAAACCTTTTACAATCGTCTGCTTTTAACTCTTATTAGTACAAAACTTAAAAATAATAAAGTATTCACTCAAAAATATAAACTAATCACTAATAATTAAACCAAACACTATCCTGAGAGTAACACTGCTAAATGATAAGTGATACATCAGTAGAATTAAATAGAGGGAGTTGCATGCAACAGAAGGGTGAGTTGCAGGATGATTTACATGTGAGATACAGATGAACCATGTTAAATATGGGGTATGTGGGAGCTGAAGTGGCTACTATTGAAATGGGTAAACTATATGTATTATGGAAGGAATGCAGGACAGAACATTAAAGCATTACAAAGGAGCTTTCCACAGTGGAAACTCATCTGCTGTAAAGCTGAAGAGAAGAAGTACAGCTATCAGACAAACAGAGCATCACCATTCATGGAATGAAACAATGAGGTGGGGGCTCTTGAATAGATTTAATATAAGATACTAATATACTGTAAATATTATAGCTGATACAACACAGAATAAGTTTGTAATTAGAAGTAAAATCCAAGATATTAGGTTCTTGTTATAAACAGCTGATGAGTTTTTCATACTTAACTAGTAGAAAGTAAGTTATATGGAAACACCTGTGGACTAGCAATATTGTTTTATGAAGACAACCAGCCAGTAACCAATGAAAATTCTTCAATTCCTCAACATTAGAACTTATGGTTTTATTAAGAGGTAGAAAAGTTAAATCTAGTCTTAACAGAACAAAACAGATGGTATAATTTGAAATAACAACAATGAATTATCAGGTATCATCTGTTATACAGTTATGTTATCAAAAATGAAAAAGCAAAAAGTAATAAATGTTACAATAAAATAATAGTGTTGAAGAAATTATTCAAATACCAAAAAATCACTCATGTGAATATTCCAGCCTAATAAACATTCATATATAAATATACAAAGATCCACCATTTAAAGTGGTAGATCTTATCCCTGTCAACTGAATCCTTTTCAGATCCAATGATTCCTGACTAGAAAACCATGACATTTCCTTTTCATTTTCATACTAAAAGGGTGATCAGATTTACCTTACTTCTACTAATCTCACCAATGTTTTACAAGTCTATCAGTTTTTCCAATATATTTTTTTATTAAAAATTACATCTTTCTCCATACACTTCTTGTAAGCCCAGAATACATACAAAACAGTGATTTTTCTGATAATGATAGGTGGGTCTAAATGCTGAACAAATGACCAAGCTTATCAGATGTTTCAGTATGCCCAATTTCCTTACCTTTTTTATTGATATTACTAACTACAGAACTAATAAAAGGTGTTACAAATGCAACATTATCTTCACGACCCCTGTTCCTTTTCTTTTGTTTCTCATTATTCTGCACCAGCATTTTTTTCCAGTTTTTTTCATACCTTTAAGTAATAATGGGTGTGTCTTGAAAAGAGATTTAGTGGTAGGGTATTCATTAAGTATTGTGTAATTGTTTAGTATATTATCTTTGATCTTCTTGTTGGTCTGATGATATGTTACCACATGTGGAATATGATCGGTTCATTATTTCTTGGTAGGGTTGAGTGTTTGTTCCTGGGTTTATGAGCTAGCTTTGGTGGCTACATCATGGATGATAGAATCAAGGTAGAGCCTTTTAGAAAAACAAGTTTTCACTTTGGATTCAGATTTATAATGATTATCATCACTATGTAGTTTATGTAGTCATAGAAATTTTAAGGAATTGTCTTTTGGATACTGAATGAGTGGTTAAATTCGAAATGTAGATTTGTGTGTGAATGTATTTCTTTGTAATGTATACTTGTGGTCAGATGGTCATCTTGTATGTATAGGTTAATGTAAGTAAGTGTGTGAATATGTTTCTTTGTAATGTATACAAGTGGTCAGATGGTCATCTTGTATGTATAGGTTAATGTAAGTAAGTGTGTGAATGTGTTTCTTTGTAATGTATACAAGTGGTCAGATGGTCATCTTGTATGTATAGGTTAATGTAGGTACGTGTGTGCATGTGTTTTTTGTAATATATACTAGTGGTCAGATGGTCATCTTGTATGTATAGGTTAATGTAGGTACGTGTGTGAATGTGTTTCTTTGTAATATATACTAGTGGTCAGATGGTCATCTTGTATGTATATGTTAATGTCCAGAAAGGGGAGTGTTGTGTTGGATATTCCTAAGTAAATTCTAAGAAGAGGTGGAAAGAAAAAACAAAGAGCAGAAAATTTAGTCCCCCATAGTGACTCCACAGATCTGTTTGTAGATCTTTCTTGTAGATTTTACCATTTTTTGTTTAAATTTTATTTGTTTTATCTTTTAATGGCTTATAATTTTATGTAACAGATGTAATTTTGTATAAACATTTCATGTTCAACATTCCAAACACTACACATGCAATTTCTTGGAATTTTGTGCATGTCGTAAGCTGTATAATCTGATGAAGAGAACTAGCTCATAACTTCATTCTTCTTTAAATAAAAATATAAAAACTTGGCAATTGTTCAACCTATTGTATAATTTTGTTAAAACATTTTTACATTCTGGTGTGCACTACAATACTTCTGAACTAGCAATAGTACTACTGTAAAAAGAGCTCTAATAAGTTTATTCACAACAATGCAGCAAACTTGTAGTGAATTTCTTCAGCTCGTAACTACAAACATGTCATTACTGATTATATGCCAAACAAACAAATTCCAGAAAGACATAATTACAGCTACACATTTTCTTTAATAACACAACTGTAAAAAGTTTAATTACCTCACATTTCTCTGATGCTACATCACAGTTTGTTTCTTTGCTTTCTTTTGTTTTACCAAATTTCAAATCAGTATGTAGAAAACTTTCTTCCAAGGAATCAACTTTTCCTGGAGCTAAAAGTACAAATCATGTTGGTTAGTCTATAACAAGATTCAATATAATTTATGTTTAAAATAAATGATAATCAAAATTCACACAATATATTTATAAGAATAGTCTTCTTATATAACTTCTTACTTGCCATATAAGTGCATGAAAAAGAACTGACTTGCAGCAAAGGGCAGGTTCTGAAAATATACCTGGACTGTCAGACACATTATCAGTTCTAGTACAAAATGATGATTAAACAGGTAGCCAGGGTAACAGTGCAAAGCATTTTCCTTTACCTGGTAGAAGAATGCTCTCAATGGAGAAGAACAGTAATTACAGAGTAGACATATGTCTGAATTGAAAATACCCATCATCCAAAACTGTCAAGTGGAGAAATTCATGCAAGCAGTTGAGTCAGTAGACATCCGAGAAGAAGTAAAAAGAGTCAGGTGGTTCTTCGAATGCAACATCATTGCAATGGGAACACTGAGTAAAGGAATAAAAGAATGTTAAAATCAAGAATATGGTGTACCCTTATCATTACGGAAACTATGAGACATCCATTGCAGGATCGATGTCATGTCTCTAACATCTCAAAATATTATTTGTGGATGTACATGTTGAGGTGGGAAACCATAAATATCATGAAGCCATCAAAAGAGAAAGGATACAAGTTTTCTTGCAGGATTGAAGCATTCATTCTTTCTCAGTTAAACCCAGTTCATACTTGAATATAGTTATAAAGAAATCAGTCTCCAGAGATGGAAAGCTGTTGAACTATATTCTGAGTGTCCAGTGTCCTTAATTTCTGATAGAGGTATAAAACTCAGTTAAGTTTTCAATTACAATTACTCTAGATTTTCTGTTCAAACCTGTGTTATTAAGGAATTCTCATACAAACATGAAAATTAAGTCACATTAGAATACCACACCCTCTTGTATTACAGAAATATGCTCAATATCTGTATTAACAAACACCTGAGTGATAAACTAAAAAGTGCTATGAAGACAGGATCAGTTTATAATTCCTGTTCCTAAGAAACATAAGACAAAGAGAACTTGGGAAAAGACCAGGCTTTTTACCAGGGGAATAAGGGCAATGTTTCACTATATTGGTATTGACTTGAATTATAAATAACACTGAGAGAACCAAAAGTGATTCAACATTCATGAACCAAGCTTTTAGAACAATCATTAACATAAACAGACAATTCACTAATACACTCATAGTATAAATATGTTGATTAATGAGGGCCAACAAAGTATCAATGAGATTCCTTTACCCTCATAGTCAGCCCAAATATGTTGTTCAATCACAGCCAACAAAGCTCTGGTGAAATCCTCATACACCCATTTGGACCCAGATACATTTGTTGCTGATTATGACTACATACAAGAGTAAAGTATGCAACAAATTCTTTCTAAATCCATTGTTTGATCCAAATATGTTAATCACTGAGTGCCGACAAAGGAGTTCCATGGTCAAATAGGCAATAAGGTCTCAATTAAAGAAGCTTCCAAAACAGCCAATAAGTCACATGCAAGATGGGAATGCGGTGAATATGGAGTCATTTTAGTCTCATTCTCAGGTGATGGTGTAGAACAAGATTACAAATGTGTCACAAATTCATGTTTTCAACATCAAATACCAAAATAAATGATAGAATGCAGCCTAATTATACTTATTGACATAAATCTCCAAGACAAGAAATTAAAATATTTATATAATAAGAAATTTCCAATTAACCCGCTCGAGATGGGTTACAGGTGAAAGGTCGTGTCATCTCATTTGTTGATTCACACTCAAAATTTCATTGAATTACTATTTCATGAATTTATGTCAATAAGTTTGGTATCAAACTGTAGATTATAATTCAAATTTTAGAACTATACATTACTACATTTCCTAATTTAAGAGTAAACACAGATAAACATCAATGTTTGTGTGTCATGAGGTATGTTGAATGCAGCACTGGTTAAAATTAGATGTTTATGATGTCAAAATTCTAAGTCTACAGTTTCGTACGAATTACAAACTCAAATTACCAATATTGACAAGCTAGAATATAAAATAAGATCTTATCTTTTCTATTTGCTAAGATGTTTCTCATGTAATAAATCAAACACTCCCTTGTATACACTTACTTCTATATATGATATGAATAACCAATCAGAAGTTCAGAATGTCCCCCCTAGTGGCTTTCTCAGCCATTTTAAATTCTTAGGACACCATTTCTTTTTTTGGAACCAAGATTTCAAGGAGGTAAGGTATGCTCAAAATTTCAGAGTGGAATTCTACAGTACTGATGTTGTAATGTATTATTTTTTTAGTTATTCAAATGCATATATAAAACCTTACATATCCTCCACGTGCAAAATTTTTAAAGGCTTAGCAACTTATGTCAAACAGCAACCGAGTACAAAAATCGTAACTAGAAGAGATAATTGTTTGCTTTACTTCTTTATTTACTGTTCTATGCTTTAAGAAAAATAAGTTTAAGAAATTATTTCAAAATGGGAATAATCTATATTCATATATAATGTATAATAATTGACTATTTTTCAAAATACTAGTCTACTAAAACACAGCCAAGACAAGTTACTCTGTACTGATCAAAGTTCAGTTTTATGTTATTTGATATGGTAACATGAGTGCACGTGTGCCATGTCATTGTAACTTCTCTATTGTCAGCCAGGCATGGCTGAAAGGTCAATATAATTAAAATAATAAATATACATAAATGTGTAATGTTATGAGATTCAATCTATTTAGTCTAAACATTCATGTCTTCGTGTTATAATTTGTGTTCATTCTAGAATAAAAGAGGCATAATTGGTATTTATTCCCAAATTTTTATGGTGGTTGCTAGATCGGTCAAATCTACCAAACCCTTAAAGAGATTAATTACTGAAAATAATAGATAAAATATAAAGTTTTTCTTAAGAGATGTTTGATAACTATGTGAAATTTGAAACTTTTCTGATGCATAAAAGTATTTCTAATCTTAAAAGAAAAAATTACTTTGCATTATAGATAGGTAACTTGTGAAAAGAAAAAATGGCACAAGAAAAACATTGCTTTACACACCTTAAGACTTAATAAAAAAATTAGATATTTTGCATATGAAAACATTATGTTTACTGATAATATGCCAAATTTAACATTTGCTTACTAATTTCAAAGTTATAGCATGAAAGAGTTAATGATGAAAAACTCAAGCATACTGCTAAATTAAAACAGGTGAAATTCCCACTATTATGTTGAGATGAATACAAAACATTAATATTCTAAATATATAGACTTACTATCAGTTATTGTGAAAGTTTCATCTTCATTTTTCAGCAGTTTGATATCCAACAAAACATTCTGCTTCTCATCAGAAAATGGTTCCACCTTCATATTTAATACTTCAATGATAACACAGAGGCATCACCTGTATATTCTGTAAAAAAAAGTTTCACAGTAAGACTAGAGAGAAATAACTTAAGAATCAGAAGTTGACCTTACAAGGATTATTATAAAATTTTTAAATATAAAATCACATTATCTTGATAACTTTCATTTCAAGTTATAAGCTTTATCTTTTCATATATTTATATTAAAACAGTCACATTATCAGAAATAAAATGACTTTAATACAAAATGAGTAATAAAACATTTAGAAAACCTTTACCAACAATTTCTAAACATGTAATGATTGAGGATTAGAATTTTACCCTATTGATTAGATTAGATATACTTCACATATACCAAAACATGAAAAACTAGAACTATTTTAATAACCTTGAATCATTCAAGAGTTGAATTACTAACTTTTCCACAAATACCTAATGATTTTCTACACGTTTACATAATTTCAACAAAATACGTTATAATACCACGTTGATAAACAGTACTACCCACTACTGATATAAGTAACACTTGACTGGAAGCCACATGATTTTTGGCATGCTCAAGCAGCCACCACTGCTATGTGTTGAGCTTTCAAAGCCTGCCAGTCGAACTGACAATGGCAAGGCGATCTCACCTCGCACCTTATGGCTGTTTTCCATCTAAACTAGATATTTGGATAACCTTCATATTTGACTTTCATAAATTTCTAAAGCAAAGATGACCTAAATCTGATTTTTACTTAGAAATTAGTGAAAAAATAATTCACAAAAAACACATCTGGCCTACCATATGAAAAATGCATTGGATTTTAGCCTAGATGCTTGGAAGAGGGTAATCTTAAGATTAAAATCTGTTTTTATTCCTTGGTTTTTTATTGTGTGTTACAGAAAAATATATCTCTCAAATATTGTTGCCAGTGAACAAGAGCTGGCATATCATGGCCTTTCCTTGGAGTGGAGTAGAATGTTATTTATGTATCTGCACCTCTAAACATTCAACATTCTTAATTGAAGTGGATGGAAATAAAGATAATAAAAGTACCCTTAATAAATTTTCCACAACTGCTGACTGGTTTCTCATCTGATTTTTGGATTTTATCTGATAGGTGGGGTATCCCCAACACTTTTGGGTGCTATTACCACAGGCAATCTCCATTATGACTTTTGGATAAGAACCGGAAAGTGCGAAGGTTTTTTGTTTTTTAAATAGAGTTCTGAATTTATATTAAGTTAGTTATTATTTTATAGTGCTGATCTTGATTATTAATGTAACTGATATAATAGTTTTGAAGCTAAATCTTTTATTATATATATATTTATTTAAAACCATTTGCATCAATTTTTACCACAAATTATCAAGTAAATCCAAGTGAAAGAGTTGAGTGCTTACACCCATAACGTCTAAATTCTTACTGTCTTCAGTGTCTACAGCTAGTTGTGGGAAGGCAGTTACCCTTAAAAAGATATAATAAAGTTAAAAGTAGAAATAAGATAAAATCAAGGCACTCAAAAAATATATATTTCTACTAAACAATGCGTACCATCCTCCACCCTTAGAAGTTCTATAAATTCCTTCACCCGATGACCATCGGCTACTAATTTCTAAGTAGCCAATGCAAGTCTTGTTATATTTCATTCCAACAATAAAACTAGTGAATGAAACTGTTTGAAACTTCATAAGAACTTACATAAACGCATGTAGATTTACCTAAGAAACATAAAGCCTGTTACTTTTGATAAATTTAGTTAGTTTGCATTATGATCTTTAATATCTTGGAAAATTACGTTAGGAAATGGTATTTATAAGAAATGATTACAATATTTATATTTGTTTCAGATTTGAGCTTTATTAGTTTTTGTTTTAGTACATTATTTTGAAATGCAAGAAATTTATGTCATCCATAAAATGCAAATTTTATCCATTTTTAATTATTTTTAATAATCACATACTCTCCTTATGGTTTCAAGGAATATACAAGACCCAAAAATAATATTTCCAAATAAACCTAAACAATAAATGAGTATTTTTAACTAGGATTTCATGTCTATATATGTACATAAAAAACATTTTAATTTTGTTTCATAAATGTATATTTATTTCAAGTTTATAATTGTGTTTCATTGCAGCCATACTTTTGTTTATTGTGCTGATTAAATAGTGAGGATAGCAGCATGAACTTTGTATATTTGGCATAAACTATCATGCCTATTGGTGGTCACTCTCGTTCAGTCCAGCATAGGCACATTTCAAAATTACTGTAGATATGATAGTAAGAAATATTTTTGGTACTTGAATATCATTTCTTTTAACTTTCAAACAATTTTATTTCAACATATGTCCGTGTATGTTGTTTCACTATACAGACAAAACTAATTGCCACCACTATCGAATGTATTTAATATTTTACAGTACAGGTGTTTTGGATAACAAT